GCTCGTTGGTCTCTCTTGGCCGAGGGGGAGGGGGAGGTTGTTCTTGGTCCGAGGGACGGGGAGTTCTCGTTTTAATGCACGGCAATTAGGGATGGCTCGAGCGCTGGCTAGATAAATTGCCAAGTATTAGCGGGCAAATTGCTACATTTTGTTATTGCCGCGTAATAATGATAATCGGCGATAATTGACGTTCAACGGTTGACGATATTGCGATCTCCTCTCTCGGTGATCGAGAGAGAATTCTCTTTCGGGATTATTATTATTTTTTTTTGTTTAATTGCGTCACGTGTGGATTACGCGTGGGAGATGTACAAGTTAGAAAAATGGTTTTACGGAGTTTGTGAGAAATGAAAATTTTGATGGAACTTTTTTCTGTCAAAAGTATTGTGATGTATAAAGCATTGTACGATTTCATGAATATTCAAAAGAATACGGAAAAATTCGCAATTGGAGAGACGATATCATCCCTATAAAACCGTCTCGTTATTCGCAACGTTCGTTCTGTTGCGATCTTTTCCAGCTACATCAACAATTACCATTTTGTAAAGAAGAAGAAGAAAAAAAAAGAATCAATCTCCTCAAAAAGAAACTGTATCCGGACTTTTGTTACGAAATGTATCCAATCAATCCGATAATAAGAGCGCAATTTGGCATAAATATCGATCATCGAAATATCAATCAAAGGGAAGTTGATCCGACGCAAAAGACCGGTTTACCCTGGTGTTAATACGCCTCGATTGTCCTCGATTTGCACACGATGGTCGGATGTAAGGGCACTCGTTTTCTGAGGAGAAACTCGATGGTCGATCCTCGCTGTCACGCACCACCATTAACCGGTGCGATCGGAATTATACTCGAGTGAATCACGCTGTGGTTGGAAACCGGCTTCCTTCCTGGCCCGCGTTACGCCTGCCTCGGATTATTCTATCGATGGGATTTCAATTTCTGCCTCCGCGTTAATACGCGCACCCCCGATCTTCCTCCCTTCGGGTTATTTGCATTTTATACGGTCCACGAACCGTGGCGCGGGCTTATCGATCCTTAATAGCCGGCCTGGATGTTGATTGAAATTCTGAGACGATCCTGAAAATCGGCCGTCACGTTATCGTCGCGTGCAGGGCGATCGTCGATCGAATCTTTAGCGTCTTTGCGGATGAAAACTTCTTTTTCATCGATTTTTCCCGAAATCGATTGACGAGAATAACGATTTAAACTTCAGATGACTGTTTATACATGAATGAATGGAACTTTTAAATTTCCACGTACTTTTTTAAAGTACAGTTTTGAACGAATAAACGGGGGATAATTCAATTTATCAACGAAGGATGAGAAACGCAAGAAATATCGTAGGATGCAACAAGAGAAGAGGTTACGCGATAAATTTAATTACCAAACTTCCGTGCAGCGCGTAACCCGTCACGTTAATTGACACATCGTCACGCAGCGCTTCTCCCCACGAGGATCTGGTAACCATCCACAACGGATACCCGTCCCGTATCGCAGAGAAAAACCATCGTAAAAACGATTTTCCATCCCCCAAACTACCCCTACGTAGTTTAACCTAAACCAGACGCGCCTCGGGATCCGAATATATCCCAAAACAAGGATCCCCCCGTTCGAGCATGAGAGACTGTATGGCGGACATGGTTGGTAGATAAGAGGCATCATCGTACGAGCAAAGAAATCGCTTTTTCGGAGCAAGTTAATACCGTGGAACCGTGGTAAATCATGAACGGTCGTTAGGATTTGGAGCATGATTGCCGAGGGAATGGGAAATTCGAGTTTCTTTCGGGGATCGGTGCCAAGCACTTGCGCCCAAGTTTCCCTCCCTCCCTCCCCCAAGTCGATCTCCATCTCTCTTTCCTTTCCATCGTTTCCCCGGGATGGAAAGCTCGCGATGATACGTCTCTTCTCGTCCTCGTTCGAGGACTACGTAATGCCGGTGGTTCGTTCTCCTCGCTCCGTATTTTCGGTCGCCAAGATTTCTTGCAGGGAAGAGGCCTCGTTGTTGGCGTTTTTTATTGGCTTTGAAGCGGCAGTCGAGTCTCGTTCCTCCAAGCACGGTTGTACGTGCGGTAACTGTAAGCATTTCCAACCAAGTTGGAATCTCGTTGTTGAATTTTGTCATTGGCTCCAGATAGCGCATTTGTCTTGAAAATGCCTAGTTCGAGTCTGTCGACGCCTCGAGAACGTGATTCGCATGTTTCGTCGTTGGAGATATTCCTGTTACGTACGATGACTCGATGGACGTTTCGCTTTAGGAATTCTACGATTATCTTTTCGATTATGTGTTATAATGTTCCTCTTATAAAAATTCTCAAATTCAGGAGAAGACACTACGATGCAAATCCTCGAGGCAAATCCGTTTCGCTGGAGAATGCAAATATCGATCGTAACAAATTTCCAAGTCCCGATTTTCTCTGCTTTTCTCGACTAAACGTCGAGAAAAACGCCCTCGTCGCTCCAGATTCTGTTGTCTTTGGATATTTCCATTGCACAACGTGGGATACAAGTTTGTCACTCGGCTCTAACCGAAATCGTGCAACTTTCGCGAATGCCATCGGTATGATCGAACTTCTACGTATGCGCGACCGCATCTAATCGAAGGATTAAATTTCCGTGTTAACATAATACCACC